CGCACGCACGCACGCACGCACGCACGCACGCACGCACGCACGCACGCACGCACGCTCGCACGCACGCACGCCCGCACGCACGCACGCACGCACGCACGCACGCACGCACGCACGCACGCACGCACGCACGCACGCACGCACGCACGCACGCACGCACGCACGCTCGCACGCACGCACGCACGCACGCACGCACGCACACACACACACACACACACACACACACACACACACACACACACACACACACACACACACACACACACACACACACACACACACACACACACACACACACACACACGCAAGCATGCACACACACAAACACGCACACACACACTCACAAACTTTTTGGCGGTCGCGGCCTCACTCGCAGCGCCGAGGCGGAGAATGTCCCCAAGCGAGAGGAGCGCGCGCGCGGCCGGCCCCTCAGATAATGCCAGGGCTCCCATAGGATCGACAGTGCCATGCGCGTGCCGCATGCCCCGCATGGGCACACACACACACACACACACACACACACACACACACACACACACACACACACACACGCAAGCATGCACACACACAAACACGCACACACACACTCACAAACTTTTTGGCGGTCGCGGCCTCACTCGCAGCGCCGAGGCGGAGAATGTCCCCAAGCGAGAGGAGCGCGCGCGCGGCCGGCCCCTCAGATAATGCCAGGGCTCCCATAGGATCGACAGTGCCATGCGCGTGCCGCATGCCCCGCATGGGCAGCGGGGGTGCTGTGGGTGCAGTGTGAAGCCCGAGGGCAACAAGAGTGTGCGCAGTGAGGCCAACAGCCAGGACGAGATGCAGGTAAGGCAGGACAGAGCAAGGCAGCGAAACGACCAAGAACCGCAGAACCGCAGGAGGCCAGGGGCCCAGGCGAGCCGCCGAGACGGCCCGTGCCGCAGCGAAAGCACAGCGGAAAGGAACACACACACACACACACACGCACTTTTTTCGGCGTCGCGGCCACGGGCGCGGCGGCGCAGCGTAGAACAGGTCAAGCTAGCGCGCGTACCGGCCCGGCTCACACAGCGAGAAGAGGCTGGATCACCCAAATGGGGATCGACAGCGACCCTCACAGGGTGGCAGCCGCCGTGAGGGGACAGACAGGGGAAGAGGGAAAGAGTGGAAACGGGAGAGACGGGACAGTGCGACAGTGCCAAGCCGAAGCAGCATGCGAGGCGCAGCGGGGAGGCGGCACCGGCAACAACCCAGGACGGAGAACAAAGACAGCGTAGGAATTTGAGACGGCACGACGCACTCACACACATACGGGGGCAGAGGCGGCTGGCGCAAAGGAACACTTTCGCGGCGAAAGTGCTCCTTCGCGCCACCGCTTGCACTGGCAAGTCTGGTCGATCCTCTGGATCTGCTCTCCGGGGCTCGACGCGGACTGCGTGTGTCCGGGAAGTCGATCCTCAATGTGGGACCAAGCAGTGGGCTCCTGCTCTGTGTGTGTGCCACTTTCCCATCCAGGCGACGACAGTTGCCAGCCTCCAAAGTTTTGGGTGAGCGTGCTCCACGATTCTGCAACAGGCCGAATGCAAGGAGGGAAGGTAACACGACTGGAGCTGATTGGCCGGTCTCCTTTTCGCCTCCTACTCGTGCTTGCCTGCCTCTCTTTCCGCTCCCGCGTGTCCGTCACCCTCCGCCTCCTCGGCTCCGCCTCGGCCTTCGACTTCCCTGCCCGTCTCCCCCCCTTTTCTCAGCCTCTCTCCTCCTCGTTCCCCTCGTCCTTCTCCTCCTCCTCCGTTTCCCTTCTGCCATCTCCCTCCTCATCATCATTCCTCTTGCTTCCTGCTCCTGTCAACCCCTCCCTCCCTGCACCTACCCTCCCTCCCTCCCTCTCTCCCTTCTCATCCCTCTGTCACCCGCGCCCCTCCCGCCCTGCCTGTCGTTCCCCCCTGTGCCCCCGCTCTCCCTCGTCGTCCCTCTGCCCTGCCTTCTCCCTCCGTCCGCCCCTGCTCTCCTCCTCCTCCTCCTCCTCCTCCTCCTCCTCCTCCTCCTCACTCCTTCCTGCCTCTCTCCTTCCCTTCGTTGCTCCCTGGGGGAGGCGCGGCCCTGACGCTCTGACTCTCGGGCGTTGGGCCGCCGGGTGGTGGTGCAATTTGGCGGATCTTCGTGAGGCCCCAGGACCCACCCGGCCAGCGTCCCGTACAGGCACGCACACGGCGCAGCCGCGCGTCGCATCATCATCGTTTGCTCTCAGGGGCAGGCCCAGCAGAGCCGTCGTGCGCATGCCCTCAAGCGAGTGAGCGCCGAGGTTGTCGGGCCTCTCCCCCACTGGCCACTGGTGCTCCGCCACCACCGCGGAGCCAGGGCCGTGTTCATGCAGACGAATGCTTTCCACTAGTGGCCGCGTCTGGTGTGTCCCTGGCCTGCGGGCGGGGTTGGCCTGGTAGGGGCGACGTGTCGGCGCACTCCTGGGCCGACAGTGGTGGTCGCGATGCTCCCCTTCCTCCGCCTGCTCCTCTCCCTTCACATTATCCCTTATCCTTCCTATGTTCCCCTCCTTCCTCATCCTTATCCCTCCTTCGGGCAGACCTCCGCTTTGCCACCTCTGCTCTGCCTGGTCCAGCTGGGACCGCCTAGATTGCCACTGAGTTCTTCGAATCGCGACGTGATGCTTTGCCACAACTTGCAATGCACGTGTCTCGTTGTGCTCGCTTGTCCGTGAAGCGCGCGTTCAAGATAGACATCGTGAGGGGCAGAGGACTTCTCGACATGTGAGTCCCAGATGTTTTCGTTGGAAAGAAACTCCCACTCTGCCACCTGGCCGGCCGAAAGTGGTTCCACGCGTCTTTCCGTGCCACCCACAATAACCCAATGTGTTCGCCAGCGTGGCCCCCGTACAGTGAGTCATTCCCCCGCGAGGGTGGCAAACATTAGTGCAAGCTATAACGTGTAAGCTGTGTTGTACAAGCTTTTCGGTGTGAGCAATGCTGTGCAAGCCATGTGTTGTAAGCTATGGGGTGTACGCTATGGTGTGCAAGTTATCCTGTGCAAACTAGGCTGTGTGAGATATACGGTGTGAGCCTTGATGTACAAACTACGTTGTGCACGCCATGCTGTATAGGCTATTTGGTGTGAGCTATGTTGTGTAACATAGGCTGTGTGAGTCCTGTGGAGACAAGAAGCTGTGTGGTGTAAGTGATGGTATGTGAGCTATGTAGTGTGAGCGTTGCTGTGTGAACAGTGCGTCGCAAGCTACGATGCGCAAGCTGTGTGCTGTAAGCTATGCTGTGGAATATCTGTGGTGGTAAGCGCACGGAGCGCCCCGGGGCGCCCACCAGCCTCACCGGCGCCAGCGATGGGAATTCTCTCGGCAAGCCCACCCAGCGCACCAGGCGCCCTCGAGGCGCCCACGAGCGGGTACGGGCGTCAGCGCCGCGAATCCTCAGGACA